AATAGTGTGAGCGGTAATCTCAGCGGAAATCGACATGGGGTGAACCGTGGCAACGCGCGAAGAAGAAGAAGGAGACACAACAAATAGAAGTGAAGAAGACGGGGCATCGCTGAAGACAACAGGATGTGCGGAGGAGAAGATGAATCGTCAAATCGAAAAGGTATTCCATCCCAAAGAAGAACGGGTTTGGTTTGTGTCCAGAAGGTAAAAAGATTGGGATGTTTTTTTGTTGGGGATGTTGAGTCAAACTTAGCACGATCTCAGCTGACCACAAATATTCACTTGTAAGTTTCTAATTAACAGCACTGAGAGACCGAAAAGAGAATGGCTTCATCTCACGAGAGGAACAATGTGAAAGAGTTTAACGTCTTGAGGACCATAGCGAGTTTTATTTATCTATTTTTGGCCTGGGGGTCAATGGGGGCAAACTGAGTTTACAAATTTGTGCTAAATTGAGTATGACCTTTCTCTGTGTTTATATATTAGTGTTTGACTTGTTTGTGTGGTCTTTTACCAATTATGCATAAACAGGCCAAGAGGGGGATTGGGGAAAACTGCAAAATCCACATTTTACCAATAATACCCAGAATAAAGAAAATTACACAGACTCATCAGATTCTGAGAGAAGTGGATTTACAACTCTTCAGAATTTCTCTTTTTGTTGATAAGTGTCTGAAATGTATCTCTGGATCTTGTGTTTCTCCTCCATAGTTATGTCAGGATTTTCGCCTCTCGCAGCGGGGGAAAAAAGGAGGGAATGTCGTTAAACCCTCCAATCAGTTTCTTTCACATCCTTCTGATCTCTCCTCTTCCCTCCTCCCCTCCTTCACCTCCCCGCCGACCCCTTCGTCCATCCCTGACACACCGTTTCTCCTCCAGCTCGCACACTTAGCCTGATCAGCAGCACCTTTGTCAGCAGAGGAGAAGGGAGCCCGGCTCCAGAGTCTGACGCTGGAATCGCAGTGAGTAGAATTCAGATTGTTTGTGAATGAACCTGACGTCCGCGGCCTCCTCCAGTTGCCCGGCCCGCCTGCCCAGTGTTCAGACTACCTGTTCAGGAAGTAGTGGTTGTACAGTAGTCTGCACATTGGTTAGGCTGGCCGGGGAAGCACGGGATGACTCACTGCAATCTGAAAGCGAGAGAGGGCAACCAGCACATCGGCCTGTGGGAACACGCAGCACCACCCTTCATCCATGTGTACAAACCGAGGCACTGGCCTAAAAATAAGCACCCTAAGGCTCCACCACAGCAGGCCTAACCCTGGATTTATAAGTGATGGTCACAAGAGTCCAAACATTTGACAAAAAAAATGTGTATCTCTATGTAGCTTCTGCATTGTTTGACTTGTCAGAAATGTAATCTAATCAAGATAAAATTGTGAAAGATGCTTTGCAACCCCCTTGGAATAAACATGCTTGAGTATCTATTTGACGTTGTTTTTGTCTTTCTTCTTTCAAGCAAGAGACACAGAGATGAAACAGGATCACACTCGTATAAATAGACGTGATGGTTGCATGACATTCTCATCACGTTGTTTATTTTTCTGCAAAAAGATCTAACTGGGAGCTGAAACCAGAAAAAAAAAAAAAAAGAGGCTCAACCACACAGAGAAAAAAATAAAATGCACTCATCCAAAAAAAATAACTTAAACACTGAGTGAACCCCCAGCATCGCTCTGCATGCACGCTTGACCAAAATGTACAATTACGTCTCTGCCTTCCCTGCTCGACTGCGCGGCGGTTCTACCTCAAATTACAATGTAATGCAGGGAAGCTACCAAACAAAAAATATGCACCGTGTTTATGACTCTTTGTGTAGCTCTCCCCAAAGAAAGACAGAAAATTGTTTGTGGCTTCTGTGTTTGTGAAGTGACGTTATGTGAAGTGCTGCAAGTTTAGCTAGCCCCCCCTTTCCTTCCTTGCCTGTTTTTTTTTTTTTTATTAAGTTTTCTTTTTTATCCTTCACTGGGAGCTGCAATTTATCTTCAAGCCAGCCTGTCTTTGATTTGAAAAAAACAAAAAACAAAGCCACAGCACACCATTCTGAACTCCTTTTTTGTCTTGATTACAAAATCAAAGAAGAAGAAGAAGAAGAAGAAGAAGAAGAAGAGGGCAGGAACGTTCACACAGTGCCTCATCACAGAGCATCGTCTGCAGGAATGATAAACCACAAAGCAACCTGTTTCCATTTAGAGCCCCTGCCACCATGTCACACAAACACATTTACAAATATACACACACACACACACACACACACACACACACACACACACACACACACACACACACACACACACACACACACACACACACACACACACACACACACACACACACACACACACACACACACACACACACACACACACACACACACACACACACACACACACACACAGGCAGAGGCAGACGTGTTTCTGGTGAGTGTGTTGAAAGCAACAGTCGTCCTTCTCCCCCCAGGATGTTTACAGCTGGGATCACCAGGCGAGTCTGGCTTTCTGGCAGCTTTACAGAAGGAGTAGGGAAACCCAGGCACACACACACACACACATGAAAATACACAGAAACACACACACACACACACACACACACACACACACACACACACACACACACTAAGGGGCAAAAGGGGCATCCAAAGAAAATACATCCAACATCCAGTAAAGGACTACAAAGTGGTACTTAAACTTATTTAACTGTGTGTTTCTGTGTGTTCAAATGTATCATTTTAACAATAAGATTACTGACTTATAAATATATTTTGCATTCAATGGCTTCTTGTGAAATCATAGTTGTGTTGGTCTTTATTTTGGGAAATTTCTATTTTCTTTAAGCTTATTTTTTTCTCCCTTCCTTCTTTCTGCCCTCTGTCTCTGCTTTGGGATGCTTTAAGCAACAGAGCAGCCTGATTCAAAGAATTGGCATGTCCTGTGGTAATACAGACCAGAAGGGCAAACACACACACACACACACACACACACACACACACACACACACACACACAGACACTAAAAACACACACATTTCCACATACATGCACTCTAACCAAAACATCCTGGCACCACTTGTTGGGTTGAAAGTTATTATTAGTGTCTGGGGTTGTTGTGTGTGTGTGTGTGTGTGTGTGTGTGTGTGTGTGTGTGTGTGTGTGTGTGTGTGTGTGTGTGTGTGTGTGTGTGTGTGTGTGTGTGTGTGTGTGTGTGTGTGTGTGTGTGTAAAACCAAACTGTGGACGAGGGTTTTCCCCATGACGAGAGGCAGTCAATAAAATGGTGCTGTGCTGTTTTGCGAGTTGGTGTAAAGAAACATATGAATGTGTGTTTGTGTGTGTGTGTGTGTGTGTGTGTGTGTGTGTGTGTGTGTGTGTGTGTGTGTGTGTGTGTGTGTGTGTGTGTGTGTGTGTTAACTAAAACTGGATAAAAAGAACAAAAAACAGTTTTTCTCTTTATTTCTTTCCCTCTAAGCAGCCCTTTTTTCTTTAAATCTAAACATATATAAATGTTTCCACCTTTTCATCAACGGTGTGTATTCTGGTATTTACCCAGGTGCTCATGTGTGTATATGCCCTCATGAGAACCTCTGGTGTGTGTGACTGGACTATAAAAATGTTCAGCTTTGATAGAAAACATAATGAGAAGTCCTCTGCAGTTCCCCTCAGCCTTGGCACTCTGTGTTGGTTTTGGGTCTCCCCGCACCCTCGCTGTTCCATGTTCAAATAAATATACAGTACAAGAAGAGAGGGAAAGATTGAGGGCAGGAGGGGGGGGTGGGGGGGTGGGGGGGTGAGGAAAGAATGAGACAGAAAGAGAAAGAAGAGACAGATGAGGGGAGGAAAGTAGAGGAAGAAGAAGAAGAGTTTCCTCTGGTTTTTCGGGAATAAATAGGATATATGAGGAAGTGATGGGAAATGAGAGGAGGAAAAAGATAGGGAGGATATTAAAGCAAAAGCCACTTTCTTCCCCACTTCTGTGCCCCCACTCTCCCCCCCCCCCTTTTCCTCCCCACTTTCTCCCCCCTCAGATGTTCCTTGTTACTCCTGCTGCTAACCAGCTAACAAGAGACACTCCTGCCTTCTCCCCTACAATCCAGTCCTGCTCTTGTTCGCTCTGTGCCCCTTCTTTGAAATGAAGTTAGCTTATTAGAAGCAGGTTGTGTGTGTGAGTGTGTGAGTGTGATTGTGTGTGTGTGTGTGTAATTGGGAACAGGGCAAGGCAGGGGGGCTCTGGTATGCACATGTGGGTGCCAGCTTCGGTGTCTGACATTCTGGGGGGTCTTGACTCTTTGTAAAGGGCCTTTCACAATTTACACACACACACATACACACACACACTCGCACAAACTTATGTCAGCGAGCAGCAGTGGGGCTGTGGCTGAGGCCTGGAGACTCCGAGACTGTGGCTAGCTCCTAATAGTTCTGCAAAGCATCATGGGATACCACTTTGACCAGCCGGTCCTGTAACTAAACTTGCCGGGTCAAAACAGTCATTTCTGCTGTTGGACAGGAAAGTGGAAAATAAACTCTGGAAGTTTAACACTCCAGTCCTCCAAAAAAAAAAAAAACTTCTGGTACTGATTTGTTGGATAATTTAAAAAATGTGTTTAGTTAGAGTTCGATTCAGTTTTTAGGCTCTTTGAAATTAATTCCTCAATTTGTAATTTCGGGAGGCAATTGCTAATGCAGAGTGATAAAAACTACAACTACTAACATGCAAATCAAAGACACAAGAAGATCCTTCTTTTCTCTTTTTATGGCGTATTCTGCAAAGCAATGTCTGTAATTAAATATTTCAGTGATAAGTTTGAATCTTTGGACAGCACTACGAGGTACATCAGAAGTTGTCAACTTGACTGTTGCATCAAACATTTAAAAACAACACATCGAGCCTGCAGGTGAGAGGACCTAACAAGCAAAAATTGCAAACACTCTTTGTCTTTGTTTGTGAGCGTGTGTGTGTGTGTGTGTGTGTGTGTGTGTGTGCATGTGCATGTGTGTGTGCTAACCTCATCATCCTTATACCAGGACAGGGATTCGGCGGTGAGGACGAACCAGTACTCCTTAGCTCCTCCCTTCATGATGCCAATGTTGTTGATGGTCAGCCAGCCCTTCCTGATCACCTGAGACACACAAACCAAAAAGAAAGTCATTGACAGTATTTTTCAGCTTAGAGAATAAAAATATCACACGCTACTGTCACAGATTTAACAGCACATTAGTAAGCCTTTGTCTCTAAAAACACACACACTAACTCGAGTGGAGAGACAGAAGCGACTGCCAGACACACCGGCAGGTTGACGCTTCACCTACATGACTAAACACACGCCTCACACTCCTTTTTATTGCAATCTCTCCATCATACACACAAACTACGGACACAAACAGTACATGGGTGTGCGAGTTAATTACCTTGAACCGATCGCTAACTCCTCTCTCCGGCTGAATGAGAATGTGGAGAGAAGGTTACAAAGCTATACGCCAGCGCAGGGCACTTAGAACAAGGTTGGTTTGATACCCGCACATTACAGCTGACTGCTGGGACGGCAGCAAGGGGACAGCAAGCAGGGGCGGGCGGGTGGGGCGGGCAACAAGGGCAGTAAGGAGGCTACAACAAGAGTGGCCCCCATGTCAAACCTTTTCTGAGACCATGCAGGGAGATGCAGGAGTCGTAATATGCTTTTTGAAAAGAGGTAGTGGAGGAATCCAGTTCCTTTTAATTCACAATTAACTGGTTACTAATTTACAGGGGTTTTTTTTGCATTTTTTTAACCTTATTGTATTGTTGTTGGCATTCTTGTCAGCAAAACCCGTTGTTATCTCTGTTTTTTAAAGTGCTTAACAAAAACAGAAGATTTTTATATATTTATTATCTATGTGTTTTATTGTAACCACTGGTAATCCGTCAGAACCTGACAGGTTAAAGAAGAAACAGTTCATTATTCAGAACAAATTCTAAGTCTGTCCATTTGTGTTTTAAGGTTTTCTGGAGGTCAAGAGGTGTTCAGTGAGTAAAACAGAAGCTACAGGGCCAACTCCATTTATCTCTTAACAGGAAGTGCGGATCACCACTTTGTTTACAATGTGCCCCTAACCTGTGACCCTTAACCTGGGTGGTTGTTATGCCAACTGACAACCAACTATGGAGGTGACATATGTCTGGTCTACATCGCCTCTGGCCCTCTGGTACTTTGGATGAAATGGGGGAGAGGAAGGAAATAAAACAGAAGGTGGGAGAGGAGAAGTCTAGTTACGGATGTAAACAAACGTCTGATGATCGTTTTTTTTTTTTTTTTTAAGCTCTCTGTCTTGGTCCTCACTCTCTCTCTTTTTAGATGCATTCAAGAGCACAAGATGAGCTCAAGCTACAGCTGCCATGCGTCTCGTCACTGCCGAAGCTAAATGGCCTCAGTTATAGAGTCATAAGCGAGCAACTCCAAACTTAGACTTTTTATAAGACTGCATAATGCTGTGGAAAAAACCTTCTGGGACACTTTTTCCTCCTGTACTAAAAATGTGTCATGGTGTTTTCACACATGCACAAAACTCCTAAAAATGCTCCCAATTTTGGGGGAGCTGCATGTGTGAACACAAACAAATCAAACAAATCAATTCTTCAGCCCACTTTTTTTCTGCAACCTCCTTAATAAAAATGTCCTCGTCATGTAAGTGAGCTAATGTAAGTGCAGCTTCAAACTGCATTATTTCAGCTGGCCAGTGTGAAGCTTTTCCCACTTGTTCATTGCTACATGAATATGCAAAATGATATGTGGCATCGTCGTTATAGAGTTGGACTCTCGCTCGCGCAGCGTCTTATTTATGTACGTGACAGAGACAACTTCACACTGTGAGAGACGTGTTTGGAAAAGCGATTAAGGAAGAATTCTGGGGGAAAAGTTCTCAAAAACTTTCAGGAGTGCGTGTGTGAAAACAGCTTAAGTGTGCGCGACTGCGGCTGAAAAGAAAAGAGAGAGGAAAGGGAAGCAGCCAAGCATCCCCCACCACAGCCACCTGCCAAACTATTGGTGGTTAGTACAAAGCTCATTGTAGACACACATCCAGACACACACACACACACACTCGTGAACCCACTATAATTCAGTACACATAAAAGACACACAAGTGTACACATACTCCTGATATATGCAGAGCGGGAAATCATGAGAACATACGCATAAAAGCTTTTTTCAGACATGCACAGAATCACACGTTATTCAATCATACACCCACACACTCTACTCACCATGATCTCATCCTGAAGCAGAAAAGCCACAGAGAGGACGGTGAAGAGACGAGACACAGAAAGAGAGCAATCACTCAAGAGGAAACAAGAGGAAAAGCAATTCATAGAAAACCCAAAACCAGGAGAGTGAAGAGAAGAGAAGAGTCGAGTGTGTGTGAAATAGAAGATTGACATGCTTTCAGGTGGAAATAACAGGAAGAAAAGATGCTAAAATGGATATTGTGATGTGTTAACGGGAAGTTTCCTTCATTAGTGGGGTTCAATTTGTCATTTAGCATACAGATGAAAATGTGGCAAACATTAAAGTGAAGTTTTGTTGCCATTTTAAAACTCCTGATCTGTGTCAAATCAGAAACACAGCCATGAATTGATTTCATTTCTTAACAGAGTGCCAGCTTTTAAAGTTGCTATCATTCCTTCTTTATCGAATTAACTAAAGCACTCGTTTCAATTAACAACAAGTGGCAAGTATAGCTTCATTGGCTAGCACCATTTCTACTTTGAAGTGGTTTGAGATGTCGAGAGAGATTTAAAATTTCAGGCAATTCCATAAACAGATTATCAAAAATCATAATCACGATTATTTTTGACTGAAATTGAGATCACAATTATTAAACACGATTACTCGTTGATTTTAAAACATCTGAAACACATTTATCATTCTTAATCATTTCTACAGTTTAACACTGTGAACACTTTGAAAAACAAGCAACACATGAAAATAAGTAAGCGTGAAATATATAAATATATAATGAATTAGAATAATTTTAAGGAGCACAGATTTGGTAGAGAAATTTGAACGTTGGAGAAGTGAAACAATTGTATGCTATAATTTCTGAACTGAATTCACAAACTTTACTCAAAGGAAAAAATGGTTCCCATGAACACTGTTTGGAGCTAAAAAGCTACCAAGAGAGTTACGGTTTCACTGTTGCGGTCCCACCACCATAACTTCTCACGTATCATTTTATCTTCAAACAGTGTTACAGGGACCAAATTTTACTCTGAAGACAGTTTGTGTATAAAGCTGGAAAGTTGAAACACTTGGAAACATTTTCCAAATATGACAAAACCATAAGGACAAATCTAGTGCAACACGACATGCAGCACAGAAATATTTTAATCTCAACTATCTTGTTTTCATGATCTTGAGATGCCAAAATCGTATTTGAAATTGGAAGTCGATTAATTGCCAAGCCCTTTTTTGAGGATTGTGTAACTCTTGCAGAGGGAACCTTGGCTTTGTATTTGATATAAATGTCATGATTGTTCTCGATAAATCCATAAACTGTGTGAAGAATCCTACATCTCAATAAAACAGAGGTCTGATGTTCTGCAGCAGACCTGGCTTTGTGCTGACGTCACCGTGATTTTCACCAAAAGAACGAGTACTTTCAAGATCCAACAACTGTTGTCCATTAGCGTGTAGAAGAGCTGCATTGTGCAGGCTATGGACTGTTGCCCGGGGTAACAAAATACTGTATAGCTGTGCTACATTTAGCCTGGGTAAAACAGAGCGCTGAGTGCTAACAGGAGGAAGCCTTAGGGAAAGACTGCATGGGGTTCAGATGTCATGTTTCTGGCAAACAGACGAAACATGAGTTCAGTCTGGAAACACGTTCCTGCAGCTTCAGGAGAATTACTTTGTTTTATACCCTGTGAAATGGAGAAGGAGCTCTCAATGTGCGCTTTAACGTACCTGGTTTCCAGCTGCTTTCTTCTTGTTCATCTGGCTGATCCTCTGTTGAGCGCTGCACAACAAAACGCATCATGGTATACTTGATTTTGGCCACATGACATCTTTAAGCATTTCAGTCCCTTTGCAATAAAGAAGAAATCCGAAACTCACTTGGCAAATCCAATAAAGTCTTCATGGTTGGTGTTCATGTAGGACAACTCAATGTCTATCAACAGCAACACCTGGAAGAGAGAGAAACAATCACAGCCCATTCACTGATGGTATAATGTTATAGGTTTTGTATTTCTTTGTTTTAGAATCTGACAACTCTATGATGAAAGCTCAATGTAATAATTTAAAGCTAAAGTAGCAAAAACTCCCACCAAGACTAGCACAACCCATTCAGTAAGCAGTAAGTGTTTCATTTTCTAATAACCAAAACATACTTTAAAATAGCAGTAAGTACGTCAAACAATGATACCTTTATTATCATTTAATACAAACCAACCTAGCTCAGTACAGAGACAAAACTAACTAAAAAGACTTAGATTCAGTTCTTTATTGTGGTTTAAATATGAATACTTGTGTGAGTATTTATTATTTTTGCATAATACTCAATCAAACCAAACCACCCTACATAATGTTTAAAGACAAATATTAGGTGGCTTTAGTTCATTTTAGATGTATTCATTTTTTGTGTACTTACCTGTCCCTTTGTGCGGCTTTCTCTGTCCCTGATATGTTGGGTAACAATTCTCTCCATCTCCTCTCTCAACTGGGGATACTGGGCCAGCTGTGAGCACAGAACGCAGTAGGTAGGTAGCAAAAATACACCAACACACACATGCCAAAGTACACTCACACATACACACACTATCTCATAACTACATATAAGCTTCAGTTAAAGATTACTTAACTCACTGAACCACGTCACACAGTTCCACTAATACAATTAAATACATTACAGAAACACAACTTAACAGGTTATGTTTGATGGAATTGATCCCAGACTCAGCTCTAGTCTCTGCACAACCCGACCAATGGGTGGGATTTGTGTTAAAACTCCATTTTATTTTTTTATAATTTGCAGGTAATATGGAGCAAATGCAGAGGAATAGTGCAAAGTCTGTGATACTGCTACACAAACACAGAATAAACAATGTTCCTGGCAGAAAAAAAAAAAGTATTTTTCCCCAGCACACAATGTGGGTCTTATTTTCCATGAGCTCATTGCAAACCCACGAAACACAGACATTAGTGGGCCTCCAATGTGACACAAACACATTCAGAGAAGTGTGAGGAAAGAAGAAAAACCAAAAACCAAAATCACAGCCCAAAATAGAAAAATATAAGCTGTCAGCATTCAAGTTACAATGCATCTTTCATGTCTGTCGGTTAGTTTGGTGTATCAGTGGACTTCAGTAGACCTTTGTCTACTGCCAACGTTGATTTAACGTTTACAGGGATGATGAGATGCTAACTTTTTGTCAGGGACCGAGCTAGACTAAGTTTGTTATATTTATTGTAGAAATTGAGTCACCACATGCATTTTTTCATATGTTTCACATAAAAAGGACTGGGTTAAAGTATTAAAAGCACAGCTGGAGATAGAATTTACAACATAATTATTGAGTTAGCTTAGCAAGCTATAACAACAAAATGACTATAGTAGGCTATGCCAGATATGAAAATCCTACTGTAGCTTTAGCCTTAAGCAATACAGCATTTTTGTGGCCAGACATGTCTATTTGAACATTGTATATTTATTTTTAGAAGTCTGATTAAAACATTTAAAAGATAGCTTGAGAGTTCAATATAATCGTGGAGTTAGCTGCAACAACAGCTAGCCTACATTAGCTGACTAAACAAAAGAGTATGCTTGAAAGCCTAATATCCTGTTTTTGTTTCTTCTTAATTAAATTGAACAACAATTGTTCTGAAAAAAATCACTATTGAGTTTGAGCGGGAAACACGCCATTACTAAAAAAAACTTTTACCCAAATAGTGCTAATGATAGAATGATACCATTTGCAAACTACAAATCACAGAATTACACAAAAAGTTTAAAGTTGGGGATTTTGCAATAAGTAGCCTGATAAAATTTGAGGTTATTAAGATGTTTTCCAGACTCAAACCATTAAAAGTTTTCAACATAGTCATAGTTAGCTTAATTAGCTAGCCAGCGACAAAAACAACAGCAACATTCTGACTGATTTTCTTTCTTTTTTTTAAATAAGCTAAAAACAATAAGTTTGCTATTATTCCTTCAGCTTTTGTATAAAATTGAAAATCCTTAGTTTTTTGGGTGAGGGAACTGTATATGTTCTTACTCAAACATCCTCTGATTTTTCTCTGAAAATTGTGAAAACCATGGAATAAATATAAATGTGTGCTATAAAAGATGCATTGTAACTTCAAGTTATGCAAAGGGTTTAAATATCTGATGAAGGGTTTAGTGTCAAACAAAGCAACAGTGCAACACAAATCTGACAGTGAAAAATGTGTTGTTGTTTTTTTATAACCAAGGCAACAGGCGGAGACATTCAAATTCAGACCAACATGCAATGCAAAGGAGCAGGGAGGGAGGGAGGGAGGGAGGGAGGGTGATGGAGGACGACTTTAAACTGACCCCTTTGTGGATTTTCCCAACCACTGTATATTATAATACAGTATTGTTTTTGAAACAGTGTGTTTCTGAAAGTAAAATCAGGATTAAAGTGTGACAGAGAAGAGAAATCCAAAGGAGGTCACGCTCTCTATCTGGCTTATTTTGCTTTCAAAAGGTTAAAGGATGACAGGATGGAGAGGACGAAAAAAGAAATAAAAAGAGAAATAGAGCGATGCAACGTTTGTTAATTAGTCAGAGAGTGGAACTACACAATCAGTCACTCCACTGATTAAACAGACAAAGACAAAAACATTATGACTTTTAACAACTGATTAAAGGACTTTTAACGCTTGCTGTATTAAGAAAATTATAAAACATGTAGATTAAGAGGCATGACTTGTTAAATTATCAATAACCAATTGTTGACTATAAAAAAATAGAACGGAAACAACCGTTTAATTTTAGATTATGTAGCTGCATTTGTAAAGTCTGGAGTAAGGATAGACCGATATCTGCTTTATGGTGAGAGACATTTTCGAAGGAGATTTTGTATTATTTATTTACAAATGTTAGACGTAAATCTGACACACAGTAGCTTCATATCATGTTTTTTTTTTTAATTAGGGAGGGCCTTTAATCTTAGCGATAAATCCCATGCATAAATGCATGAAACATAATGCAGGGTCTTTGAAGCCACACATGCAGGTTACATGCAAAGAAAAATACTCTATAGCATAAACATAATGAGAAAAAAGTATTCTCAAAAACCAACAAAAAGTTCCATTTAAGATGTTTTAACCTGAATGAGCTTAGTTTAAAATACTGTGTCAGTACATGCTCAAAGTGTCACTGATTGGAAAAACGAATCTTTATATTAAATGATTTGATTGATGATTTGGTAGTTTACCATTTGATGTTAAACAAGCCAATTTAATGTAAGACTTAAACAACAAAATCACAAAGTTTACATCAGTGTAGAAGAGATTTTATCCCTTTTTCTGTAATTGTAAGGATATTTTAAGAAAGAATGAAACATTAAAGTCTAACTATGTAAGAGTCAATCTTTCTTTCATTAATGTTAATGATTCTATATCTTAAAAAAAATAGTAAAAGCAAGCAGCTGTTATTTTTGTCTCTTGCAACGACTGATATCAATGTAATTAATGTCAAGCCATCAGTCTACCCCTGTGTAATTAACAAAAATCCTAACAGTGGCTTAGTCCTCGTTAGCGTTTTACCTTTTGACTACACTTTTGTATGGTGGAGGTGAGCTCGCTCACAACCATATCTATACACTTCAGTGTTGGCTCCTTCAGCTTTTGGATCTGCTTTTTCACTATGGCCTCAAAGGCCAGGTCAGGGGTGAAGAGCCCCGTCCTGTAGGGATAAGCAGGCGGCACGGGGGAGAGGAGGAGTAAAAAATAAAAAAAAAGAGGAAAAATTGAAGAGAAAGAGAAGAAGTGAAGGCAACCAGTGAAGAGTTGTAAGAAGGCAGACAAAGAGAAGAGAGAAAACGAAGGCAGGAAACATGAAAACAAAAGGGGTCAGGGAAAAACAGAACACAGAAAGGGAAGGAAAAAGATTGGAGACGTAACGGAAGAAACAATGGATTAAAGATTTTAAAAAACAAAAGGAGGAAAGGTGTGAGGGCTTGGAGGGAAAAACAGCACAGAAGGAAGAAAATGCAAGTGAGACATTTGATTTCCCCTTGAAGCCATTCTAAAACAGGACAGCGCTGGAACCTCTCTCTATCAGTAAAGAGAAAAGAGAGAGAAAAGATAAGAGGAAAAGGATGAAAAAGAGGGAGCTCCCAGCCTGCACAACTCCGCCAGCCAAAAAAGTCCAAGCAACATAACGCAAGGCCGCAGCTGTGCACCCCCGACATACAGCCAAAATGCCCCGATCCCTCCCAGTGTTGACCCTTCCTCCACCCGTCCTTCCTTCTTCTCTGACTTCTAGTGGGAGTGTAATCATAACATTTATTATCCCAATGCCTCCAGGTTGTTTCTGCTCCAACCACTGTTAAAATTGTTTGGTCACAGTGGATCAATTTGGATACAGACTACTGCTCTTTCTCTGGCCACACTCAAGGAGCCTCTGTAGCCAGGAGAGCGGACCCCGAGGGCCCGTTGAAGAGCAGTTAAAACATAATCGTCATGGCGCTTGTCTTTCTGCAGGTGCACGGCTGCAGCCTTATACACACACAAGAAAGTCTGGACGCTGAGGTCATCCAATATGGCTGCCAAGGAATCTAAATAAATGGCAAATTATTCTCATAACACGTGAACCTGTGAATGCAGGTAGAGATAGAGTGTCTTACTCTAGATCTTGAAAGAGAAGTAGACCTATTAGATTTAATGTAGCTACAAAAAATAATCTTAGCTTGAAGACAAAACTTTTATGAAGACTGCCTTAAAAGGGAGCGGAGGTTCAAGCACCGACCAGAGGCCAATTCCACATTTAATACGTTTAGCCTTTATCTTGTGCGAACAAAATGTGAACTTGTGTTAACAATATTTGCATGTAAAAATGTGAGAAGAAGATAATTATGCAAATAAGGTGATACGTTAAAATTCAAAATCCAAACACTAAATGTCTTATTTGAAGCCAAATACTGTCTAGTGGGAGTGAAATACATGTAGCAATAAGCAATTTCTTGAGAAAGTGAAAAAAAATCACATCTACAACTACAATTCTCCAACTTTAAATTTTGTCAGAAAGCCTAAGAATCAGATTCATAAACACAAGTCCTGAGGCAGCTTTGACGTTTAACCTTTGACAGGCAACCATATTTTAATGACTGCTCAGCCTCCACACTGGTTTTTCTTCAGCACAGCTTTCTACAATGGCCAGCCTGTCCAGCCAAACCCCTCCGAAGTGGTAATGTAGGCGGGCAGGCAGGCAGGCAGGTACACCGCAGCCCACCCAGTCACTCCAGGAGTCCCCTCACTGTCCACAAACAGCGAGGGCTGGAGAGAGCCAGGTGGTTACAGCAAAAAGGGAGTGAACAGCAGAGGGACTTTGCAGATAAGGATTGAAAACAAAAAAAAGTGCTATCTATCATTTACTCTTTGTTTGTTGTTTTTTTACCTTCTTGGTACACTGCCTAACCGTACTGACTAGCTCAGAAATGACCATGTCCACACATTTGGTGCACGGCTCTTTAATCTTCCCAATCTGCCTTTTCACAATGGTCTCAAAGGCCATGTCCGGAGTGAAGAGGCCAGTTCTGCCCGACAGAGAGAAAACCAGCCACAGAGCCAAAAAAAAGAAGAGGAGGATGGATGAGAGAGAGGAAAAAAAAAACAGAAAGAGGGAGGAGGGTTGGGTAAAGAGAAGAGTGTTAATTGTTAAGAATTATCCCCCATTTTTGAGGTTTTTTTTCCCCCTTAACATAAACAGACACAAATTAGACAGAGAGAGGGAAAGAGAATGGAACAATAAAAACTACTGAGCGCTGAATCATCAAGGAAACATTATGTAATTCTTCTGATTGTGCTTAAATTGGACGTTTATACAGAATATATCAAGTCACTTCACCAAAAAGTAGTGTTAGACGGAACGGTTTTATATATTAAGCAGGGGATCAAATTTGATACAGAAAAGTGAACATCATTAGGGAAGAGTTGTTCTGATAATACAATCAGTATAGGATTTCTGTATCCCGGCAGCAACAGATAAAGATACCAAAATCAACCCCTGATACTGCCTAAAATGCTGCATCGGGTTACAGGTAAACATAACTCAATCAATGGACCAATCTGGGACTATTTTGAAGACCGCCCACCCCAGAAAAATAGAAATAAGAACAACATGTTTTATGTAAATTATGAAGTGATCATGGCAAACAACATCAGTGAAAGCTACACTGAGCTAAACTCAATATTGGAGTTTTTAAAAATGGTATCAGAACATCTCAGCGTCCTCAGAGGACTATATGTTTTTGGAATCAATCAATCTGTGGATAACAGATCTCTGATACTGACAGAACAGCCAAACAGCAACTTTGATGGGAATCTATAAAACCTGATTGCATGCTGACAAAAACAAGTTCTGCACAAGAAGTATAGTCCCTATTTGATCCCAACGGATGCCATTAGTATTCAACAAAGCGCTGTCATCTAAGCACAGAGGTCTTTGTGATTAGATAAGCAAAGTCAGTTAGACGCTGTCTGGCCAGCAGAGGTGACTGAGATGAGAAGAGAAAAAGAGGGAGTTAAGAGTTTAGAGGGAGGGAAGCAGGGATGAAGAGAGGGGTGAGTTGGAGGACGGACGTGCCTGATTCCATGAATGTTCTTGATAGCGTAGCTGATCTCCTTGCGGAGCTCTTTCTCATCAAACTCCATCTGCAAAACACAGACAGAGACAACAGTGTGGATTAAATATAGACAGCATTTCTTGAACAGATTCATAGATCAGTTAAACGTCTCGCTCCATCATTTATTCCACTGAGTTTAAAAAAAAACCCATATCAGTTCATAAAATAGAATTTATTTTCTCATTCTATGCATGCATAAAGTTCTTCGAGTATAAGCTTTATGCATTACTTATTACTGAGACTATTAAAGCAAGATTACACCAAAATGTAAAAATTTTATTTTTCAAATATCTTGATATAACATGTTTTTGTTTTTTTTTAACTTAAATTGATGTCTTTATTTTTCTTATTTTTTTCTCTGAATGATCTGAACGGTCCTCAGACCTGTATGAAAAATAAACATGGACATAGTCTCTGTGACATCACCATGTGGTTTCAGAAGAAAAGCTATGAAGCCCATTATTGGCGGATGCCTTGGAAGTCTATCTTAACTTAACGTCCAACAGTCTAGTAACAAGCAAGGAGAAGGTCTTAATCCTCATTAGCCTTCACATAAACCGACACTAGTTATAAAGCAAAATGAACGCAAACATGTTTATTTCTGCTCTTATAATTAGCATTTCAAAATGGGACCTAAAGGGGATTTCATGGCTTTTGGAGCCAGCCTCATGTGGACACTTGAGGAACTTCAAGTTTTTTATTCACTTCCACATCGGCTTCATTTTTCAACAGGTTGCTGCTTGGGATAAAATTGGTGAAATGGGTAACATGCAGACTTCATTTCAAGTCCTCACAAGCTAAAATTGTTGAGTTTGAGTGTATCTCCTTCACTACTTCTCAAATGCCTCCCCTAAAAGAAGGATATACAAAATATGTTTTAATTTAACACTTGTTTTGACTGCCGTGCCTCCTTTTTTTCTGACTTTCCCCAACAAAGATTTATATTTTCCTTTAGCATGTTCTATAAAAAAATCTCCAACATTAAGATTTTCTGTTTTATGATTCAAGCTTGTGGCCAGGAAACGACCTGCTCAGTCCTCGCAGCAGGAAACCGACACGGTATCTTTTAGGGCTTCGGGCACAGACGGTAAGTTTAATATCCTCAGAGGGAGGCTGAGAGAGGACAGAGGATAAATATGGATGAAAGAAGAGTGAGGGTCGGTGTTAACTGAGAGGAAAAGGTTAAAAAAAGGATTAAGGGTGTAAATGGGAGGGCGAGGTGAAAGTTTTAGAGATGTTAGGGTGATTTGGAGGGTAAACAGAGAGGATGTAGTCAGGGGTAAAAAAAAAAAAAGAGTAAAAGAAACAAAATGAAAAAGGTGAGTGAGAGAGAAGAGAAACGATGAGCGAGGACGTTAAACTGAGAGGGAGCAAACAAGGACTGTTGAGGTTGGAAAAGCCCAGAATCCCGATTTTGTTTCTAAATTTTTAATCAAATCCAATAAACATCACTTTTCGACTGTTCCAAAAATGTAATCGCTTCACATTCTCAGTCGCTGTGAATCAATGTGACAGTAATATGAATATGTTTTATGTCAAACAAACACTCAAAACTCTCTTCTCTGCTGAGTAAACTGGCTATAATGCAACAAATCAATACAACACAAAAAAGATCAAAATGAGAACAACCACAAGCCTGATAAATGTTCCAGAGAATTTTGGATCTGAATCTTTAGTATATAAATATTTACAGCTATGAACAGACATGTTTATGGGTTGGTGGTTTTGCCCAAGTCTGCAAAATCAGATGTTTTTTTTATTTTTTTTATTGCAAATTGTTCCCACAAAGAGTTACATGATGGCATTTTTTTTGGCCTCATTGAAATCGAAGGAGGAGGGTCAGTTGACAATGTAAATAAAACGAGGAAGTCCTGCTTTTTTAGAAAATGAAATACATCTGAAAAATAAAACAATCAAATCAAACACAACATCTGAAGGACACACACCTTAACCAGCTCAAAGGGGAAGCGTTCATGGAAGATGCGATTGATCTTGGCGCCTCCTGACAGCTCGGCTGTGTCGATCTGATCTCCAGAGCCCTCTATGCACTTCTCAAAGTCCACAGAGAACTGCTGCACCATCCTGCAGAGACACAAGCGCATCAATGAATCAAAGAACCGGTTTTTATGTCGTTGTTTTTACCCTTCACCTGGATGTACTCACTGGAGCAGAGCCTTGGTCTTGCGAGACGGATCATCGGGTCTGAAGTTCTTGTACTCCTCGACCTCCTTCTCTATGGAGAGCAGCTGACTCTGCAGTTTGGCCCGCAGACCAGGCAGGGTGTCCCTGATGTGGTTGGTCAGTTGCTGTAAAGGACAAGGTCAGAGGTCGATCACCTGGGCTTCAATCAAATATACAAGCTTCTTCACCACTTAGAGATAAACATTTAGAGTATGCGACATCCCAATCTCTTCAGGTAGCATTTTACAGCGTGCAGGCACACATTCAACTTAAGTGAAGGAGTACATTCTAAGTTCTAAGTTATTCAATTATTCCATTTACAATTAAATAATTTCTAATGAATATCACAACAGAAATGGAGTATACATGTTCCAAATAAAATACAATGGCTTAAATTTAATATCAAACAAATTAATTCAAGAAAAGGGTAAAGAAAATGTCAAAGTTTTTGCCAATTTTTTGTTTTGTTTTCAGGTAATCAGGTGAATTAGAAGGGAATTACAGATGTGCTGCAGAATGTGCCGGGTGTACAATCATGCACTTAAAGTTAAGGCAAAAAGTGATGGCAAATTAGTACGTCCTAATGTACGTATTAATACTACATGTTAATTAAATGAATTAATTTAATTAATACATTTACTTTGCTGCAGTAAGTAGTTTAGTAAAAGCTAAATGTATCTGATTTGTAAAGCGGTTGGAATGCTGGAATAACACCTTGAAATACATTAAAGGAACTCTGAAAGGCTGCACTGCTGATTATTCTCTCTTTCCTCTCGTTCACCCACCTGATTGAGGATTTTCTGGAGGTAGGGAGTTCCCATCCGGTCTGCTAGGTGTCTATAGGAAGGATGGGAGAGGAAGAACTTCCTCTCAGCAGCCATAGCAGCATTAATGTCCTTCTTACCATCGATGTCCTTCTGGCTCCTGTTCACCACACCGATGTAACCTGACACGGCAGACGTAGACCGAAGGACGTTTAGACAAAAAGGCCTGAAACACTTTGAGCTTCGCAGAAAACCAGATGCAATAATTTTTTTTATCACTTCCTGGAATATTTGAGAGCAAACTGGATCAGATTTCAAACTTGTGGCATGACTTGTGATTTAAATGGAAGATCTTGCATTGGAGCAATTACTGGGATTATGCTGGCCTCTTATTCTTCTAAATATGAACTCGTGTTAAACAGCCAAACCAAGAAAGTACAAGCCCTCCTTTACCGAAACCGCTTTAAACAATGTTTAATAATGTTTAGCTGACAAAAACCACATTTTAAGGGATTTAAGAAAACCTTTTTTATTAAGGATAAAGTGAGAAAAGAAAGGAAGTATGGAGGAATTAAAAGCATAAATGTCTACATGTGTGTGTTCAGGCTTTTAAAACAGAAAGAGAGAAAGAAAAACAACCAGGAGAGTTCAGGTCACGCAGATCCCATTTCACCTCCAGTTAAGTTTTCTCATGCATCACTCAGTTAAAGGCCGTTTCATGCTCTATAACTAATGCAACGTCGAGCCAGCAGCCTTGTTAATGTGAACATCCACACAGCATTAGGGGAGAGAGAGAGGGAGAGAGAGAGAGAGACGGGGGAGGGAAAAAAAACATAGAAAAACAAAAGGACATGGAAAATATTCAAAAGCACATGCCTGGGTTCTAACCAAGTGCAAATGGAAAAGAAAATCACTGCATCAGCACATTGCAATAAAGGGCAGCTCACAAGATGCATGCAAACTCTTTTCCAGGACACTGTTTTTCTCTTCCCCACAATCCCTCTTTCCCCTTTCCAACTCTTCTTTCTGTCTGTCGTTTGATTTTTCTTACACAGTTAATTTTTATTAGACCCAAGATCCTGTTAGACCCTTTTTTTTTTTTTTTGCTGTTGATTTCTCTCTTTTTCAGTGGGTTGAGAATTCTAGAGTGCAGCTGCCTTGTTACCACAAGAGGGAAACAGTGGGTCACTGTGAGGGCCACTGCTGTGTGTGTGTGTGTGTGTGTGTGTGTGTGTGTGTGTGTGTGTGTGTGCATGTACTCACCCTCCTGAGAGGAAGCAGCTTATTCTCCAGGATGTCCTTAGCATCTGTCCCCTCGTCCATCAGATCCAGCTTAGTGATCACACCGATGGTCCTCATACCTACATTTACAAAAACACACATAAACATACTTAATACTCACTACTCATGGCCTCCTGTACAGTGTGTGTGTGTGTGTGTGTGTGTGTGTGTGTGTTTGTGTGTGTTGATACACGCACCCTGAGGGTCGACCTCTTTGGCAATCTTTAAAGCATCAGAGTTTGCAAGATCAGAGTTGGCCGGGGACACGGCGAGCATCAGGCAGTTATCTTTGGTGACAAACTGCATCAGCATTTCTCTGATCTGAGCCTCGATGTCCGCCGGCTGGTCGCCCACGGGCACCTTGGTCATCCCCGGTAGATCCACCAGCGTCAGGTTCAGCACTGGGAGGAGAAAGAAAGGGAAACATTAGCTCATAGAAAAAGCAAACCGAAAAAGGGGGCACATCATTTGTCCCAAGCCGGTATCTGTGTGTCTCTTCTTCAGCCTCACCATGAGGGGAGTACACACGCAGGTTGATGGGCACAGCGGAGATGCCCTTGTTGGCCCCGGTGATGCGGTCCGTCTCTGCCTCGATCTCCTGCCGGACCTCGTCAAAATCTGTGAACTTTTTGCCCTTACAGTGGAGGAACTCAGCGTGTTCTGGAGGAGACAGAGAGATGAGATCAATAACATGAACAATGAAGACAAGAGGAAGAGGGGAAAAGCTGAACTTCAAGACCTGTCACATGGAAACTAATCATGTTGCAGAAATCCACTAAAATATTCACAGCCAATGAACATTTTAATGTAAAAAAAAATTTAAATATTGAAAGAAGGCCTAGTGGTTAGGTTGCACCCCATGTACAGAAGCTGTAGTCTCCAAAGCGATCAAGTCCGACCAGCAGCTCCTTTCCCACCTGTCACTCCCCACTCTCTCTTGGTTTCCTGATATATTCTCTGTCCTATCAAATAAAGGCATAAAAGCCCTAAAAAAATGCATCTTTAGAAAGCACGTGGTTGAAAATCATCAATTGGGGGGAAAAGTTTAGCAAAATTGTGACAACAATTTTTGTCTGTAAGGCTCAAAAAATGAAATATGTCTGAGCATCTGAGCATTGGTAGAATATAAATAAACTTACATTTTTTTCTTTATTGCATTTTCATTTGGAGAAAAATAAATCTATCTTGCGACTCATTAGTAATAAACTCCAACAAGATTTAACATTTTGAAACCGCTAACAGCAGCAATGAGGAGCTTAACGTTTAGGAGACTACAGCAGCTTCAGTGAGATATGTTAAAACCTCTTCCCTGAGTTAATGCAGCTGCCATGACTATGTTCTACAAGCTTCAATTATTTTCTGTGAATAAAAATCCTGCTGACAGACTGTGCGTTAACTTCATGAAGTGTAACCGTGGCAACATGAGGACAACGCATCCCAAGGTCTGTAGGTACGAGTGGAGTGTTGTCGAGCGATGTGTAGTGTAGACCCCAGACGGAAAGAAGGGAAGTTTTCTAAATGCTAAAAGCTAGGTTTGCTCTTGATATTCTCAATCTAAGAAGTATCACATTATGTTATACAGAGGAGCTGAGGGACTGTTATGTCATTCCCATTTCATTTTAAAATGCAATTATTTTAATTTTCACAAGCTGCTGGCCTCAGTCAAACTCCAACATTAATGAAGGGAGTAAAATACATTTACGAGCTATTGCCTAAAATACAGTTTCCAAAACTGCAGGTTGTCACAACATCTCTTCAGAATCAACGAGGAGTCTTCAGAGACATAAATAATCTTTGTTCTTAAAGTCATGTATGGCATTTAAGGGTGAGCTGTATTTACCTGTGGGACTGGTCATGAGCTGGAGAACCAAAGGACGACGAGTCACGATGCCAGAACCCCGAGGAAGGAAATCCCTGCAGCACAACGGACAGACAGAGAGGGAGACAGTCAATAAAATGAACACCAGATGCAGGACATGCAAGACACCACATCAACTACTTGAAGTAAGTAGTTTTATGTCAACACTTCCATAATGTGTGCGTGTGTAAAAATGTATTTGTGGACAAGCGTATGTACTGAATTCAATTTGTGATTTTTTTTTTACTTTTCCCTTTTCTGCTGCAAACTGCCCACAGTTGCTAATATTTTTTATTTTTACTTGTGAACTACAGCCAGACGGAATCCAAGGAAAATTTCCCCAAGGGGACAATAAAGTAGATCTTATCTTATCTTAAGTAGCGGCAAGTAGGAAGTGCAATGTAAATGTTTTAAAAGTACAAATGCTGAAAAATAATCGATGGAGAAAAAAAAAAGAAACTTCATATTTGATAAATGACATTTAAATATTATATAACTGAAAAAAATGCTGATTAAAATTTTACAACACCATGGGTTTGAGTAAACTTTGGATGGATGTGTTCTGTGATGAACTGTAGCTGCAGTTTATTTATTTTTTTAAAAGGTAAAATGGAAAATATTGAAATGTTCTTAAGATTGCAATTGAGGTTGGGAATGAATACAGCAGACTACTGTTATAAAAACCACATTTCCTTCACCAGCAGGGTGGAAAATTCCCAAAGCATTTCTGCAAAACACTTTAATGGTTGAGAAGATTGGCTCCCATTAGAATAAAAAGTTGAAAGAAAAAACAAAAATTCTGTGAGGTTTAGATTATTTCTCAAGTAGTTTATTCTTCTAAACTGATTTCAAATTATATAAAAACTGGTTTGTCAGAATTTCTGTTCTTATTGCCAGAACATAATCAATTCAAAAAGCTACTTTTAAAAAAAAAAGATTATTATCTGCTCCAACTTGCTTTCAACGTGCATTAATACAAATCAAGTGTTTGACTCTATAATTGACTGAGACACTGTCCTGGCATGCCTGAGGGGTTACGTGTGTGTGTGTGTGTGTGTGTGTGTACACATGAGAGCACACACATGACTGCCTGCCAATATGTTTTATTGTTGAAGGCTTTTTTTTTTTTTTTCCAAGCACAAAACACTGTTTTCTTCCAGGGTGCGTTCAGCTGCTTATGCAACATCAACGTCAGCTCGCCACTGGCACTGTGTGCTCACCAACCAGCTGACTGGACTGTTACTATTCAGTGATGTGTTGTTGTTGTGTGTGTGTGTGTGTGTGTGTGTGTGTGTGTGTGTGTGTGTGTGTGTGTGTGTGTGTGTGTGTGTGTGTGTGTGTGTGTGTGTCTGTCTGTGAGATAGTGTGTGTTTCAAGAAACAACAAGGGGCTTTTCCAGAGTTACACTCTCATTTTCAGTCCACATTGAATCTATTGGCTTGCCTTGCGTTCAGTTGGTATATTAAACATACATTTTTGTTAGTAGTTGTCCAGAGTTCGCTAAAAAATAGAAACTTCAAGTCCATCTCAAGATTGAAAAAAATGTAGATGTCATCAAATCATACAACACGATGGATGGAGGGAATCTTCACAAACAGAAATCAATGAGAAATTGATGAGGCCTCAGTTTGAACCTGAAGCAAAGCTGGAGGCAGTTTGTATGTAAAAGTCATGAGCAGAGAGTTTATCAGGGCCAAACTGCTTCTGCTCCAAACGGTGACCCAACTAAAACATGTGAGTTATGATATCTATGGGTCTTACAACAATATGTTTGTCACTAAAGGAATAGTTAAACCTCTACCAAGACCTTAGCTGAGAAAAATGAGAACTTATTATGTCAGACACAAAACCACGACCAATTTTTCTCATTATTAACTCATCGCATTGTTAATCCTTTTCAGACTTGCAATACTTCACTTTATGCATTACAGACAATATGACAAACCAGCTCACATCATAGCTAGTGTTTGCTGGTTCTCCACACCTTCTTCACTGATACAGAAACAACAGGGGGCTTCATTTCTGTGCATTGATTCAACACAGGAAATCCTTTTTATTTGGCTTTTAAGTGTGTCTGCCCATCTGCTGGTCTACCTGCCTGCCAGTGTGTGTGTGTGTGTGTGTGTGTGTGTGTGTGTGTGTGTGTGTGTTCGTGTGTGTGTGTGTGTGGTGGGATGTCCCACTCTCCCACTTGGATGCCTTTTTTTTCGAGGAGACAGATGGCTCTAACTGCAGGTTTTCTCTCACTCTACTCCTCTTCATCCTCCAATCAACTCACCAAGGAAAACACACACACACACACACACACACACACACACACACACACACAAACTCACCTACTGTAAATGTTCATGTACATGCGGCTTCCTAATGAACCATGACAGGGAGGACGATATGACGGTGGTTCTTCACTCATCATATATACCTAATCCTGACTAGAGGGTAAGAGCATCTCCTGCTGCCTCCACCCTCCTGTGTTTTCATCCCTCCAAGATGAGGCAGGGGGGTTAAAAACAAAGGCTCGAGCGACTGCCAAAAGCACAGACACAATCCCCAACACAGCAGCAGAGATTTAGAGGACAGGGCTGAAACAGGAAGAGAAAGACGGACAGTGATGGAGACTCAAAGAGAGATCATACTGTTACATCGGTATACCTTCAGCACTCACCAATAAGTGCACTTTGCAGTTAATGTGTTGAAAAACCCTCCATAGCAGTTTTGAAAAAGCATCTGGAACTTTTACTTATAATAGCTATCTATCCCTAACCCAACCCTACCCTCATTACACTGAGAAACCATCTCTTAAAAAACCTACTTTCCAAACAATAACTCATTACAGATGTCCGATTGAGGGCTGGGTTCATTCTCTTTCTGTTTGTTCTCTGTTTTGTTTGGCTACACTAGTTTTGCTTTAAAATAAAAGGTGTGAATAACCGATATGTGACATGTAAACTGTTTATCATTTCTCACATCTTTTGCTTCATAATACAGGAAAAGGTTTGCATGTTTACATCACTTCTCTGCATGTTTCTATGACACATGGAGCTGTATAATAGGCATGTCTTTATGATTTCTATAAAACATTGAGATTATTGTATTAACTCAAAATGTAGCTCTGTTAGTCTCAAGCCCTCCTAATCTATAGGTGCTCTAATGATTCATTTATAAAAGCCTGAGAGCAGTGAACAGTTAACACACTCAATCAGGCACATTTAAGAATCAGAATATCTTTATTTGTCATTGTACATGTATTCTAAAAACACATCACGCCACACTTTCACACACATTCACATTCTGCTGGGTTACAGATTTCAATTGACAGACTACACAATCATTTTTGCAGTGTGAAGTGCAGCCACAGCTCTCGAGTGGAAACTGTTTTTCAGTCTGTTAGTCCGGGTTTTAATTGTCCTGAAACGCCATGCCTGAGGGCAGCAGTTCAACCAGAGAGTGTCCGGGGGGTGAGATGGATCTTTCTGAATGCTCTGAGCTGTTTTTTTGAGGCATCGGGAACAGATCTTCCCTGCACTGAATGAGTCTGCCTTTTTGGTGATGAATGTCACTCCCACACATACACAAACATGTAAGCAACAGTTGTCAGTGGAGCCAATGAAAAGACCGCTTGCTGGATGGTGGACATCCAGATTAGATGGGGAGCCAATGGGTGAATGCATTACAGGTAAACTGCGGCCCAAACACAGATTAGAGTTAATCCTCTGCATCAGGAAAAAAAAAAAACACTCTCCTCTCTCCCTCCTCTGACTGCCTTCTCTCTCTTATTGTGCTCATACACTGTGCAGTATTGTTTGTTTTTACACTTTCTATCACTCTTTGAAATTCATTTTAACAGCACTAACTTAAAGGCCAGCAGCTCTTTTTTAGTTTCATTTTAAATTCCTTTAGAAGTTTCTGAGAATAATAGGCTTTATTATTTGGTACAAAATGGAGCAGAACAGTTCTTAGCACAGTCAGCAACTTTATGTTGATTTAAGATGTCATTTTTTAAGCAATAGTATCAAATATGATCCATTTCTATCGTCTCAACTGTCAGAATTTGCCACTTTTCTTTGTCTTGAATGTCAACTGGATATCTGAATGTGTTTTGGTTTGGACATACGGTAACACCATCCATCCATGCATCCATCCATCCATTATCTACCACTTATCTACCACTTATCCCGGAGCCGAACCACTCTGAACATTGGCCTAGAGGCGGGTACACCCTAAACTGCTCGCCAATCAATCACAGCGCTTACATACAAAGACCGACACACTCGTGTTCACACCTACAGGCAATTCAGAGTCACCAATTTACCTAACAAGCGACATAACAAGCACGTCTTTGGACTGTGGGAGAGCGTCGGAGTACCTTGCCAGGGATTCAAACCAGGTACCTTCTTGATGTAAGGGCGCTAAAAACTGCACCGCAATGCAGCCATCTGACATAGAACACAATTCAACAATGCTCTTTTAACATGCTGCGATGGGCACTTTTTTCTTTTTCTATCATTTGTAGAAAAAAACTGTTAAAACTATAGCTCAAAAGCAGCTTTATGTCTAATTGAAGCCTGACTTCAATCGATTGGAAGATATTAATGATGAGAAAACGGACCAAAAAACAGACCGATTGCACCAAATGATTAAGGAAGACAAGACAGTAATTCTTCATATTTGGTAAACTGTCAAATTCTTTGGATTTTAAATTCATCTAGCGTGTACAAACTTAATTTTTTATGTGCCTTAGTGACACCGAATTACTTTGTCATAGTTAAAATACATATTTCTATTTATCTAAGGAAGATTAAATTAGACTTTATCTTAAAGATAATTAAGTCAGTTATTTCTGTACAACCTGAAAACATCAGGATCCATAAAGTATTTGTTTCAGGATTGTATTTGAGTGTTGGGTTTTAATGCGGCATCTTCCTACTCTACTGCACTCCTCCCTCCTCCTCCTGTGGTTGTTGTTTTTTTTCTCATTGAATGGAATAAAGGCTTTAACGGAGCGTATCACTGTCCTCCACTCTCACATGAGTGAAGCTGCTGCTACTGGTCG